CTGGAAATACGTGTGAAATCACTGCGCCAATTCCATAGTTCGAGGCGTCCGACGCCACCACAATTTCCATCGATGGATCGTAGTGTGTGAGTAGCAAATCGGAACTTAGCATGGATTTGACAGAGTCAAAGGCGCGTTGACATTCTTCTGACCATGTCCACTTGTGGTCCTTGGTAAGTAGCTGATTTAGTGGGCCTCGAAGGCGATGCATGACAGGGAGGAACGGACTGTAGTGACTGACGAGACCGAGGAAAGACCTGAGGGACGCCACGTCTGTGGGTGCTGGCATACGTTTGATCGCTTCAATGTTCTCCGGGTCTGGACGGCGGTCATGTTCGTTAATAATGAACCCAAGGTACTTTATCGACCGCATGAAAAAGGTGCATTTCTCTCGGCGCACTTTGAAGCCATATTCTTGAATACGACTAAGCACGTAATCAAGGCGCTGCCACAGTTCGTGGGGATTAGAACCCATAACAACGAGGTCACCCAAATAGGCGGCAACGCCTGGGACATCCCTCAGCATCGTATCCATAATCTGTTGAAATAGGACTGGCGCTATTTTGATGCCAAATGGCAGCCGAGTGTACTGGAACAGACCTCGATGCGTATTGATCGTGAGCAGTTCTCGGGATTCTTCCTCTACTTCAACCTGGAGGTACGCATCGGCCAAGTCAATCTTCGCGAAACATTTACCCCCATTCAGTTTCGCGAACAAGTCGTCTGGGAGAGGCAGGGGGTATTGATGGGTATCCAGTGCCGCGTTGAGACCGGTGGAGAAATCTGCGCACAACCGGATCGTCCCGTTAGCCTTCTTTACCAACACAATAGGTGCGGCCCAAGCCGAGTAGTTGGTCGCTTGGAGAACACCCGCCTTCTGAAGTCGGTCCAGTTCTTGGTCGACGATAGGCAAGGCTGCGTAAGGCACTGGACGTTTTGGCCTGAAGACTGGCTTGGCACCAGGGAGGAGGCACAGTCTGGCTTTTGCTTTTGTACACCGTCCAAGTTCGTCAGTGAATACAGACGCATAACGTTGTAGGAGGTGCTCAAGTGAACGCTTCGGCAAGTCAATTTGTCCGGGTGCTGCGTGTATGCCGTTGCAAATAGAGTTGATTGGTTTATCCAGCAGGTTTAGCTTTTCGATCCAATCTAGCCCCATGAGATCAAGTTTGGGGCATGACGTCAGGTAGCAGGTGGCTTGTGCCGTCGAGTCCTTGAAGTTAATGAGGCAGTCCACTTCGCCAGTCAACTTCAGTTTGCCACCGGAAGCATTACGGGCCCAGTGATCAGTCGGCTTCACATATGGCTTACCGATTCGCTTCCACGTTCGTTCACTGAGCAGCGTGATATCGGAGCCAGTATCAAGTTGCAACCGAACTGGGATGTCGTTGATACGAACCGTCACGAACTTCCTTCGGCAAGCAAAATCAACTTTGAATGTTGCCGTCACCGAGTTGGACCGCGATTTGTGGGCTGCACGGTGGTGTGCGGGTGGCTGCAATCTTTGAGATCGACACAAATCTTCTTTGTGGCCGCGACGACTGCACCTGGAACATTTGTGACGCCTGAACCGGCAATAACGAGCAAAATGCCACTCACCGCAATGCCAGCAGCTCGTGGGAGGCTTACCCTGTCTTCGATCGGGCTTCTTGTCGGATTTCCTGGGCACGCTGTAGTTGATTGCCTGTACACAGCTGCTTGAGGTCACAGGTGACTGACCGATCATAGCCGTGTCGTGCTTCAGGTTGATGAGGCGTTGGCATTCAGTGGTGAGGCTCTGCAACGTCATTTCGGCATCCTGTTCAATTCTGTTAAGAAGCCGGGTTCTGATGTCAGCATCATGGGATGACTGGAGACCGGATACAAAAATGAGGCACTTAAACTGATTCTCCGTCATTGAGCTGAGCTTGAAGCGCTCGCATTCTCGATTGACAACACCGGCAAACGTGATGAAATCATCATCATCATTCTTGGCCAACTTAAGGCATTGGTAGCGGATATTGAACAGTGATGTTTGATCGCCGAATATCTGGGACAGTGTTCTGACCGTTTCATCAAAGCTGAGGTCGCGGGGCAGCTTGGGGAGAATGAAATTTGTGAACCGTTCATGCTCCGGTGTGCCGAGTTTTCGCAGCAATAGTCTGACTTTCCATCCATCGTCAAATTTGGAAAAATCAGTTTTGAACATGTCTTCGTACCGCTTGAACCAGGAGTCAAAAGTGTGACCAGAAAGAGCGTCAAATGTGAACTCCGTAATTGAGGCCGCGGCTGCATCAGTTGAGGAAACAGAAGACTCACCAGTACTGACTGCTGCTGTCTGGATATGCAGTTTCTGAGTCAGTGATTCAATGAGCTTCAGTTGCGCTTCTTCAAACTGCTTTTGTTGCTGCTGCAATAGTTCTCGGAGCTGATCAAATCCGATTGACATCGTGGGTTCCCGTTCGCCAATTGTAGTAACGGTATTTTCCTCAGCTTAGTTCTCGGTCTGAGCCTCCCAAGCTAGCGTTCACGTCAAAACAACCACCAAAGGTGCACAAGGTCTATTAACGCCCAAAACGAAGTCAAGAACAGTTGTACAGCGCTTCGTATATATAGCGTAAGCGGTTATAACTTTCTGGAATTTCCGACGCGTTCTGGATGCGCCGTTGGCAACCGGCATTTGGCCAATACTGGGTCATGATTGGCAGTTGGGTCAAGATTGTTGACCAATCAGATCTCGTCTTGATGCCGGACCGGCAAGCGTCCTGAATTCTGGGCCAACCTCGAGCGGGCCAGGCTTCTCGGTCGTAGCAGCGCCTAAAGACGTGCGGTATGGTGGGATCCGCGTGGATTCCTGCCTAACAGCTTCACCATCAGATGCGATTTCACACTAAGACGAGATCGCCAACCCTTGGCAGCGCTGGAAGTTTTGCCTAAGGTACGGCGCTACCAGGCTCACTCGAGCACTGGCATCATCACCAAGACAGCATGACATCAGTGTTCAAGGCCGCCTCGCTGTCATACAGTCAAGCACTGGATATCAGATCGAACTGTGACACTGCCTACGTCTCGAAAATATATCCCAGTCCGTCCCGAACATAACTCGACGCGACGAATTATC